GAGATTATTATAAGAAAATTCACCATTCCACATATGCCTCATTAAAATGGTGTACCTGAGTGAATGAATAAAAATCTCCTAGATATAACAAGAGCGATGCTAAGAAAAACAAGGGTGGCCAAGTTTTTATGGGAAGAAGCTCTAAAAACTGATTGTTATATAATCAATTGATCTCCATAAACTTCAATTGGTTTTAAAACACCAATGGAGATTTTAAACAGAGCCAACTGATTATTCTTCGTTACATGTATTCGGATGTATTATATACACAATGTACAACTCCCAAGAAAGAACAAAGCTAGATCCAAAGTCAAGAAAATGTATATTCTTTGGTTATGCTAACAACGTGAAAAGGTATTTCTGGTTAGATCCCACCGATTGCAAGATTGTTGTTAGTATAAATTTAGTATTTACAGAAAATGAACTATAAAGTGAGTAGAAATATGATAACATTGCCAAAGAAACTATTGTTGTTTAGAAAAAAAAGAAAGTATATAGAAGATGATTCTTCTGAAGTTGAACTAGTGCATGAGGAACATGTACTAAATGAGTCTAATAATTAGGTATTCACCAATCATCACGTCAGATTGTAACATCAGTGTGGCATTCAGACTATGTTACGGCAAGCCTTGATGCATATCATTTTCTAACAGGAGAAGGAAAACCACCAACCGTTTAAGAGGCTATGAGTTGTTCAAATTATTCATTATGAATGGAAGTGGTGTAGTAAGAAATGGAAGCCTTACATATAAATAAGTTATGTAATCTTGTTGTACTCCAAAAAGATTAAAAATAATTAATAATAAATGGGTCTATAAGATCAAGTGTGACGATAATGATCAAGTAGAAAGATATCGTGCAAGACTTGTGGTAAAAGGATATGCTCAAAATGAAGGAATTTATTTCAATGAAATATTTTCTCCAATAGTAGACTTACCACTATCAGAGTAGTGTTAGTTCTGTGTGGTGCTTTTGAGTTGCATCTGGAATAATTAGATATAAAAAATGTTTTTCTTCATAGTAAACTTGAACAAGAAATATATATTCCAACCATAAGTTATTGAAGAAAAAGAAAAAGAAAACTTGTTTGGAGATTAACACAATTTACGTGCGGTTTAAAGCATTTGTCTCTGTGTTGGTACAAGAGATTTGATTCCATCATTATTATCCTTGGGTACAAAAAACATAGTCAATACCATTATACATATTACTAGAGGTTTGAGGATAACGATTTTATTATTTTGTTGTTGTATATGGATGACATGTTGGTAGTAGGCCTCCAACAAAGATCAAATCCAAGATTTGAAGGCACAATTGGCTAGGAAATTCAATATGAAGGACTTGGGACTAACAAACAAGACTTTAGGGATGAAAATTCACTGAGATAGAAAGGATAAGAAGGTTTGTCTCTCTCAGAAGAATTATTTTTCAAAATTTTGGTGGCGCTTCAACAGGCAAGGCTATAAGTCAACCTCAATCCCACTTCATATCAACTGTATATTATCCTCAAGTATGTGTCCTAACAATGAAGTTGGGAGGATCGAAATGTCCCAAGTACCATATACATCAACAATAGGAAGCCTTATGTATGATATGATTTGTACTAGACCATATATGTCTCAAGCAACAAGGATGGTCAGTCGGTTTATGGAAGATCCTGGTAGAGAGCATTGATATGTTATGAAGAGGATTCGAAGATATGTTAAGGGGACCTTAGATGCTGCATTATATTTTGGATGATCAGATTTTGTTGGTAGAGGATACGTTAATTCAGATGATGCATGTGATTTTGACAAAAGAAAATCTACTACTCGTTGTGTATTTGTAGTTGAAGAATGAGTGGTAAGTGTAACACTCTAAAACCCCACGCTTATAATTATAAAATAAAACATGTAGAAAAAACATATTCACACTTAGGATGTTACTCAATATCAAAACCATCTGCTCTACAACACTTAAATTTAAAATGAAACATTCAATATTATCATCGTATGGTCACCTTTACTTAGGGTATCATAACAGAGGAATTATAAAGATAAACATGCTCTGCAAACTGTCGCTGTTGCGAAAAAGAGGTCGGCAAAGACAGAAGAGTCGCCACCGTTCGATATTTATCCCAAAGAGAGGGAAAGGAAACGATCAGAGAAAACCTATGAAAAAGGAAAAAGACAAGGTCTTCGCAACCAAATCTCGGGTTCAGGAGTCGGTTACGCAAGGGGAAGGTATGAGCACCCCTCACGTCCGTTGTACTCAACGAGATCCACGCTTGTTTTCTATCTAAAGAGGTGTTAAACTATCAAGTGCTGGCTCACAAGGACAAAAGAAAAGAAAAGAGACTCGATAGAGCATCGTCGCTCTATGCCTACGTATTCCCTCGTGCAATGGGAAAGTCAGAGTCAACGTAGTTCGGGAAACTACGAGTGAAGGTGGGGAAGGTTGCTCGCCAAGACATCGTCGTCTTGTGCCTACGTATCCTCGTCTGGTACGAGAAATCAGAGCAAACGTAGTTCGGGCTGACACGGCCACAGATTTGTTCAAGTGTTTTAACCGAGTAGGGTTAAACCTTCGTTCTAGCAGTTAGGTGTATTGCTGCTCGACCATTGGGGACTTAGGTGTTACCTGTTTGCGGTAGAACCAAGAGTTAACACACTCTTTCTGAAAATGATTTTCAAAACAATCCCGAAGGATAGAAAAGGTTTGATGTTTTGTTTTGTGTTTTTTATGAAGAAGTGAATTGAATTAAGTTTGTAATTCATGTTGCACTAAAGACTATGACTTGAGAGTGAATGCGTCGCATATCGCCCAAAGGGTATATGCTAAACACTCTAGACAGTTGAGAGAAAGCCCCTGAACTATCATTCCTCAAGTACTTAAGGCTCGTAGCGTACAACACTTGTTATCCTTTATTATGTATCTTAAAAGGTTAAGAGATGAGAAGAGAAGACACAAACTCTAAGGGCAAACTAATCAACCCTGATGTTATCATGCATCATGCTCCTAAGGTTGGGATTAAGAGGGAAGAAACTATCCTAATATTAGCATGCTTGGATTGAACACTTAATGTCTCTCATACTCCCATTCTAAACGGAGGGACTAGGAATCCTAAGGGATCATGGAAAAAGACCAGGAAAACACAAGATAAATCAATCACAAATGAAATGCAAGAGAGAGATGAAATTGACTTAAAAAGTCAAGGAACAATGCAAACATGATATGCAAGGCTCAAAAGATGGAATGCACGATGATGCAACAAAACAAAGCAATTAAACAAGGCAAGTTGACTTGAACAAGTCAAAGAAAGGTGATGAAATGGGAGAAGTCACAACTCCTACAACCATTCAAACATCAATCACTTACACCAAAAGATAAACACAACGCACAAGCAAAGATCATGGTCAAAGTGTAAATGGGAGAAAGAGGCTTGGGCAGCAAGCACATGGAAAATGTCTCAACTACACACATCACATTAATCATGCAAAAATAAAAGAGCAAACAAGTGCTAAAAGTGATCCATCATTCAAGACAAACTCAAAGTAAGAACATGGATACCAAATTGTCTTAAATGATGACCAAAGCCCAAGGGACAGAAGTGAAACCATGAGAGAAAGGTCCAAATCAAGATGGAAACAAGGCACAAGCAAGAAACAAGTCAAGGCAAGAGGAAGAACCAAAGTTCGATCCATGTTCAACACTTAAAACCAAGTGGAATAGCCTAATTTCAAAATAACTTATGAAACAAGTTACACAAATGTAATGACCTAAAAATGCAAGACTAGCACCTTGATCATGTCATAAATGAGTATCAAGACTCATAGGTTGCATATGGGATCCATCAAAGTCATTTCCCAAAGGAACTAGGTCAAACTAGTTTGTATGAACTTTCTCTAAGATGACTTGACTTGCAAGCTTCGTCAAAAATAGAAGAAATGTTCAATAAATTCCAAATAAAATGCATAGAGTAACCAAGTCCAATGAAAAACAGAAACCAAGGTTTCAAAGTCAAACTCAATCCTAGGCATCACCAAATAATTTGATTAACAAGGGTGCTCCACCTTATTGAGTATTTATCAAGGGTCATGAAAAAGTCAACTCAAAGTCAACCCTAAAATGGTTAAACATGAACCAAAATCCTCCTCAAAGGCACCTCAATCCATCCTCTTAATGGAGAAGAAACCTTAATCATAGGGGATTTGAATTGGAGGTTCAAATGTATAACATCAAGGCTAGGGTAAACCATAAAACACATCACTTTGCAAAATTAAAATAAAATTGCAAAATAAACACTACAACATTTTGAATATACAGCAACACAAAAAAAACCATTGCAAAATCTAAAAAAACCGTTGCCTTTACCTATGAGAACGGTTTTCAGGACGTTCTAAACCAAGGCGTTGTTTTAGCCTTTAGGAACGATTTATTAGCCAACGGCAACGCCTTATTCATAGCCGTTGCTGTAATTTTATATAGAGAACGGTTTGGTACAGCAACGGCTGGAGGCCGTTTTCAAATTTAAACCGTTGCAGTTGTTGTTTATTTGAATACAATTATTTAGCAACGGTTCTTAGCCGTAGCCTATTCTAAACCGTTCTAGTAGAGTCTTAAGTTCATTTTTTCTTCATAGGTTATAGCAACGCCTTCTTTACTACAGACACACTTTGTAACTGTTGAAAAAAAAAATATTTTATTTTATAAACCAAATAAATTTATTTATTTTTTTTAATAAAATAAATTTTTATTTTATTTTATAAACCTGATAATAACATCATTTACAATTTTTTCATATAATAATATTCAAATACAAAACATCTTCAAATTGAAAATGATCCAACAAAACATTTAAAAAAAAAATCTTCAATTTTTTTTATAAACCTGATCTTGCATATCATAATGTCAACAAAACATCTTCAAATTACATATCGATCCCAATGTCAATCATCATTCATAGTCAAAATAACATCTTTAATCTATAAAATTAAACTTAAACATCTACATCTCTACATCTACGTTTCTTCATCTTCAAATTCAAAATCTTCATTGATATTATCATTCATGACCTGCAAAATAAAAATAATATGACTTAAATAAGATTATTATTTGAATGATAAAAAATAAAATAATTCACTCCAAGTAAATAATCCACATATATAAAATCCCTTAAAACATAGAAATGTAACAAATCTTACTTGATCATTAGTTGGAGCATGTGTTGATGTAGAAGAACGTAAGACACTGTTAGCATCAGTTGCAGGAGTTGATATCAAAGCTGCCAAAGCCTCTATATTCAACTCGGAGGTATTTTGATTCAAAATAGTCTTAAGAAGAACCTGAATTTTCCTATCAGTTTCTTCTTTATCTTGACGATGTTTTTCTTCCATCTCTTGTAACCTGTCATTAAATTGTCTAATCTCAGCAGCATGCTCTCTTTTAATTTTTGAAATTTCTTCGTTTCTTTTCAAGAGAGTCGGTGTTGTGGTTCTTCCGTGGCAACGCAATCTCCCAGGTTTTTGTTTGCCCAATACGCTTTCAAAAGCTTCTGAAGAAGGTTTTCCATGATTTTCAATCAAGTCTTGAAGTTTTATCTAACATACATAATATATAGTAGTAAATAAGAGGCAAGGGACAATTGTCATTTGAACATTACTCATAATATACAAGTCTGATCCACTCCTAACTAGAACTCCTAACAAAAATAACACTAACAATAATAACTTACAATTGCATGGTTGGTTTCTTGATCCAACTTCTTTCCTTTCCTACTTTGTCGAGTAGCAATGAACATTTCAGCTTGAGTTGGAGGTTCTTTATCTTCATTATTTTCACGCTAAACCAAGTAAAACAATAGTATGAGAGTATTAATAAAATAACACAATTTAATATTCAATTAATATATAATTTAGAAAAGAATACCATTTTTTCTCTTATAACAGCAAAACCTTTATTCCCCATTTGATGTCTCCATTTCAGTTGAGCTACATTTTCGGCATTTTGATGACTGACTTCCTACATACACACACATATCCATACACACACACACACACACATATCCAACACTTAGAATCCATACATACACATTTATATACAAACCAACCATCCAATTTCATTTATATTTTCCTAACTCTTTTTCAATTTCTAACATACATAACAGTACTTATTAATATGTTTCATTCATAACAGTACTTAATTACTAACTTATTAATATGTTGCAATATATGTACTTAATTACTTAATTACTAATATATAACAGTACTTTATAACAGTACTATATTACTGGCTTATATTACTAACTTATTAATATTACTAATATATAACAATACTAATATATAACAGTACTTATATTTTCAATTTCTAATATATAACAGTACTATATTACTAACTTATTACTAACTATGTTACTAACTTATTAATATTACTAACTTATTACTAACTATGTTACTAACTTATTAATATTACTAACTTAATTAATATATAACAGTACTATATTACTAACTTATTAATATTACTAACTTATTACTAATTCTTCATCATAACAGTACTAACAGCATACTTAGTAACAGTACTAACAGTACTAACAACATACTTACTAACTTATTAACAGCATAACAGTACTAACAGCATAACAGTCCTATATACTTACTAGAGTTTTGTCATCTCTCCAATACTCCAATAACTTTCTAAAATCTTCTTCTGATACCTCTTGTGGACGATTTTTTAGCTGCTCGCGCAAGGTTTTATACTTGCTAAAATGCTTCCTTTTAAGCGAGCATTTGTATCGTCTCCAAGCATCATTTGTAATAGCAAATACAGCCTTTTTTCCTTCCTTTGGGATATTGTATTTTTCCTGCAAAAATATATATTTAGAATATTATATACATTAAAGTATGTTAAAAAAACACAAAATAAAAAAAAAACTAATTACATTGACATAATCCCACACGGGATCCAAATTGTGTTCCTCCCAATGCTTAACCAAATCAATCCAACTAGTGAAAGTGAGAGGACATAAATCTGAACTTCTTCCTAGTGTCCCCAAAAAACTACTGAGTTCAGACACTGTCTTTTCATCTGGCCCAATTGGTTGTCCTTCTTCATTCAAGGTGATCTCTTGTCTATCTTTGAATTGTCGTCCATGAATTTTTCGACATAACGTCTTTCCCCGCTTTTTTGTTAATCCTGAGGATGAAGTACCTAAGGTATTACCTTCAGCTTTGTTTACATTTGTTCCCTCAACTTCCTTACCATTATGAATGCTATCATTCTCCATATATCCTTCCATTTCATTTTCTTCTGTATCTTCATCGTCGAATTCCTCAACTCCATTTTTTTCCTTATTTTTATCGAGATATTCGGTAAGGGGCATGGTTGGACACTTTAGAAGACTTTAGCAACAATTACTTGTACACCATCAGCAGTAAATTAGCAACAATTACTTGTACACCAGCAGCAGTAACTACAAGGAATAAATACTGCTGCTAATAGATAATTACAATAGATATTCTATGAAATACAATAGATATTCTGCTTATTAGTGCCTTCAGTAAATTAGCAGCAATTACTTGTACACCAGCAGCAGTAACTACAAGGAATAAATACTGCTTCTAATAGATAATTACAATATATATTTTGTGAAATACAATAGATATTCTGCTAATTAGTGCCTTCAGTAAATTAGCAGCAATTACTTGTAACACGACACTAAACAGAATTTCCTAACAGCATACTACATCACATACAAATAACAAAACACAGCACTAAACACAACACTAAACAGAATTTCCAAAATGTCCTAACACATCACTAAACACAACTCTAAACAGAATTTCCTAACACAACACTAAACAAAATTTCCTAACAGCATACTACATCACATTCACATTCAAATTTCCACTTCAAGGAATAAATACTGCTGCTAATTATTTGTACACCACATTCAAATAATGCTGTTATATTTACATCACATTCACATTCAAATTTCCACTTCAAATTAGCAGCAATTACTTGTACACCAGCAGCAGTAACTGCAAGGTATCCATATTCTGTCTCAACATCAATAATCGCTCTCTCCCAATTGTCGCTTGCACGAAAATAAGGTGTCGGCACAACAGGAGAGTCGCCATCTTTCGTTATTTATCCCTCAGAGCGGGAAAGGAAACGATCGGAAAAAACCTGACGAAAAAGGGTAAGACAAGGTCGTCGCAACCATTGTCTGGATTCGGGAGTCGGTTACGCAAGGGGAAGGTATTAGCACCCCTCACGTCCGTCGTACTCGACGGGATCCTCGCTTGTCGTGTTTACTTGGACGGGTTGGTTTTATTCTATCTACCTATCAAGGCTGGCTTAAAAAGAAAAGAAAAATGACTCGGCAAAGCATCGCACTTTATGCCTACGTATTCTCATCAGAGAACGAGAAATCAGAGTCAACGTAGTTCGGCCTACGAAGGGTTATGGGGGAAGGTAGCTCGCCAAGACATCGCCATCTTGTGCCTACGTACTCTCAACAGGCATGAGAGATCAGAGCTCACGTAGTTCGGGAAACTACGGTCTATTTCCTGTCTTTTACAAAAGAAGTGTTTTTTATTGTGTTTGCGATTTCAACCGCACTAGAGACTATGACCTGAGAGTGAATGCATCGCATGTCACCCAAAGGGTACCATACTAAACATCTAGACTGTGGAAAATAAACTCTCCCATAATCCTTTCTCAGATAGCTTAAGGCTCGTAACGTACGAAAGAAATCATTCATGATTATTGTATCTTAAACTGTTTTGAGATGAGAAGAGAACAGGCCCAACTAGAAGGGAGACTATCAAGTCCTACTGTTGTCATGCCATGGATTCATCCTATGGTTGAGGTTTGAACAGGGAACTCCTAGAAGTTGTCATGCATAGGTTTCAACCTAAAGTTCTATCATCAATTCCTTATCAAAGGAAATGAGAGTCCTAAGGGATCATGTCAATGATACACCAAAACAGACAAAGCATCAGCTTAACAGTAAAATGAATGCAATGCAAGTGAGGGAGGAAATGTGTGTGGGGCTTCAGCCTCCACAAGCTCATCTCAACCTCAAGCCAGAATGGATAACAGTAATCATACTGGAATATAAACATGCTATCAAGCAAAATACAGTAAACTGCAATCATACAGAAAGAAATGAAATGAAATGCCATCAGGCAAACAAACCACATGGGCAAGGGAACTGGGCTCTACCGAATACCCGCAAGCAAAGCCACACAGTAACAGTACAAGCAGAGGGAGCAACTCAACCTCTAGTGCAATCATGCTCCTAGATTCTACCTATTCTAGATATGAACTTATTCTAATGCATCAAGCAAGTCAAACAAAACACATCAATACAACAAAGAAAAAGAAAGCAGATCAACTCCTCTCTCAACTTCAAGCTTCAGCTCTTCCAACAGTAACTCAGTCTTCAGACTTCAATCACTCTTGACAAATATCAATTTGCTTTTCCAGGTTTCAACCCTTCAACATAAGTTTCAACTTATCTTCTCCTTTAAGCTTCAGCTTCTTGACCAGCTCCACCTTCAGGCTTCACTATCAATCATAAGTACCAACTTGGCTCCTTCAGGATCTCCAGGTATCAAAGTAAGTATCAACTTCCTTTGTTCTTCAAGCTTCATCTCTTTAGGATCAATCTCAATCACTTAGAAGTGTCAACTTCATCCTTCAGTCTTTACTTCATCTTCAGGGGTCTTCAAGTATCAACTTGCTCTTGTTGCTCTTCAAGCTTCAGCTGGAATGGCAATACTCAAGGATTCATCCTCTTCTACACTCTTCAATGGAGTCTTCATCTTCAAGCTCAGCATCCCTCAAGATAATCAAACCAGAGGAAATCACTTACTGGATAAGCTGGGGGATATTGAACTGCTTATTAATCACCAAAGGTGACCTATAAGGGTTCAACATCAAAGGAATGGTTCCCTCAAAAGTTCTACTTCCTAGGTATAATCACTTATCCCTCCAAAGGAGAGAGGTGTATACCATGGAAGGACTTTGAATCATAGGGAGGAATGGAGGTGAAAGATACCATCCATGTTTGAGAAAGAAGTTATCTAAGTCTAAACTCTTCCTAATCCCTAACCCTAAAACAATAACAAAACAAATAAGACCAAGCTCTCAAGCTCCTCAATGCATCTTCAAATCTTCTACTATACTCCTCAATGCTCCTTAGAACAAGATCAAGCTCTCCAAGCCCACAAAGCAAAGCAAACAAACATACAAGCCCACAAGGGCCACACAAACAATCATCATATACAAAAATCATCTAAAAATAGTATACTACTTGTCGCTTGCGCGAAAATAAGGTGCCGGCATGACAGAAGAGTCGCCACCTTTCGTTATTTATCCCTCAGAGCGGGAAAGGAAACGATCGGAAAAACCTGACGAATAAGGGTAAGACAAGGTCATCGCAACCATTGTCTGGGTTCGGGAGTCGGTTACGCAAGGGGAAGGTATTAGCACCCCTCACGTCCGTCGTACTCGACGGGATCCTCGCTTGTTTGTTTACTTGGACGGGTTGGTTATAATCTATCTACCTATCAAGGCTGGCTGAAAAAGAAAAGAAAAATGACTCGGCAAAGCGTCGCGCTTTATGCCTACGTATTCCCATCAGAGAATGAGAAATCAGAGTCAACGTAGTTCGGCTAACTACGGGTTATGGGGGAAAGGTCGAAGGTTGCTCGCTAGGATATCGCATCCTATGCCTACGTACTTTCATCTGGTATGAAAGATCAGAGCAAACGTAGTTCGGGTAACTACGGGATAAAATGGCTCAACTAGGAGGGAGACTATCAAGTCCTACCGTTATCATGCCATGGACTCATCCTATGGTTGAGGTTTGAACAGGGAACTCCTAGAAGTTGTCATGCATAGGTTTCAACCTAAAGTTCTATCATCACTTCCTTATCAAAGGAAGTGAGAGTCCTAAGGGATCATGTCAATGAGGCACAGAACAGACAAAGCATCAGCTCAAACAGTAATACGGTAAAATGCATGCAATGCAAGTGAGGGAGGAAATGTGTGTGTGGCATCAGCCTCCACAAGCTCATCTCGACCTCAAGCCAGTCATGAAATAACAGTAATCATACTGAAAATAATCAACATGCTATCAAGCAATGAACCAGATAAAAGAAGGGAAGTACCATCAGGTAAACAAACACATATGCTTGAGAAAGAAAGAATCTACCCTCCTATCCTAAAACAAAATCTGAACCAAATCTAAGCAAAGCCCTAAAGCAAACCCTAAACAAGAGAAACAATCCCAGTCTTCAAGCTTCAGAACAAGCTTACCAAAGAAAGGGAGCTAAGCAAGCAGACTCATAGTGTCTTCCTCAGGAGAACACTAGGAGGTGTATACTCAGGAGTCATACCCTATGTGGCTCAACCACTGTGATCAGTTTACATTCCTCCTCAGGAGAAATTAAACTCACAAGCAGGCTCCAACATCACTGGATATTTAGGAAATCCTATCTGAACTAGTGGAACTAAGTGAATAGACTCATAGGACCTTCCTCAGGAAAGTACTAGGAGGCTTCCGCTTAGGAGTTGTATCCTATGTGGCTCAACAACTGTGATCAGTTTATATTCCTCCACAGGAGAAATTAAACTCACAAGTTGGCTCCAACATCATTGGATACTTGAGAAATCCTAGATAAACTAATGGAACTAAGTGAATAGACCCATAGGACCTTCCTCAGGAAAGTACTAGGAGGCTTCCACTTAGGAGTTGTATCCTATGTGGCTCAACAACTGTGATCAGTTTATATTCCTCCTCAGGAGAAATTAAACTCACAAGTTGGCTCCAACATCATTGGATACTTAAGAAAGAGGTGAGAAGAAAGAATGAAAGTCATTCATAGTTCCTTCCTCAGGAAAGTACCATGAACTTCCTTCAAACTTCAAGATCTCAAACCTCACAGACAGGGGACAAACCAAGCCCTGGGTCTCTGAGTCTTGATCTACAATCTTCTCTTCATGATGCTCTCCATCAAGGTCCTCAAGGCAACACAAGCCCCTCAACAAATTCCCCACAATGAACCCCAAAGATGAACAGATAACCACAGGGGAGACAAAATCAATAGGCAACTTCAGAAAATACCTAAAAATGCTAAACTAATGGGGAAAAATCTAACAAATATTCACAAGGGTCTACAAAGTCTATTCATAACATCTACATAGGCCTCTACCTAAAAATCAAGACAAAACTCAATCAAAGAAAGTGAATCTTCACCTAAGCACAACCTAAACCCTAATTAGGATACCCTACATCTACCCTAATCAAACTAATCAAAATTTAATTCTAAAATCCTAGAAAAAATCCTATGGGGAAATATGATTCATCAT